TCTTATTTCTATATGACTGTCTTTTACTGAACCTCAGGCTTCCTGATTGGGCTGGATCCCATGGGAACTGCTTGACTCGGCCTCCTCAGCACTGTAATTAGAGCCTGCTGAGTCCAGTTTTATACACGATACTGGGGATCTGAACTCAGGTTCACACGCTCATATGGCAAGTACATTACTGACCTAGCCATCTTCTAAACCCCCAAAATGTAGTGTTGACAGGCAAAAAAAATATATATACAGTTCACACAGCAGAATAGAAAAATTTCAAAATAAATCCATAGAAATACGTCCAACTGTTTTGTGGTAAATGAGTTAAAGCAGTTCAACGGAGGCAGAGTACCAATTCTAGCGGAGGCTGTAACACCAGAGCAACCGGACAGTCCCAAGCAGAAGATGAACCTTGACCTAAAATAAACCCCAGACTTTTCACAAACACCAATTCAAAACAAATCATGAACCTAAACATAGACGTATCATTTTTTAGGAAATCGTAGGAGAAATCCTTTGACACATAACATTAGGAAATGTTCTTGGACTTGAAACTTAAAGTGTGATAGCTAATCTTGGCTGTCAGTTTGATACACTTGAGAACAGGAGAACTCAGCTGAGGAACTGCCTGCATCAGACGGGCCTATGGGCATGTGGGTAGGACATTGACTCAATCGCTGATTGATGTAGGAGGGTCTAGCCCACTGTGGGCAGCACCATCCCTATGCTGCGTAAGAAAGCTAGCAGACCCAGCCAGGGAGTGGTGCTCCTCCGTGGCTTCTGCTTCGAGTGCCTGCCCTGACTCCTCTCAATGACAGACTGTAACCTGTAAGCTGAAGCAAATCCTTTCTTTCCCAGCTTGCTGTTGGTTGTGGTGTTTGTAAAACAGAGCAACAGGAAAGCCAACTAGGACCCAAAGCATGATTTATGAAAAGGAAAATATGATAAAGTGGACCCCACTGAAGTTAAATATATTTGCTCTGTGAGGGGGCCTGGTAAGGAGATGAAAAGAAAAATTACAGAGCAGGAGAGAACATTTGAAAAATCACAATACCCAACACAGCACTTTGTATCCAGTACATACAAAAACAGACGGTGGCGTTATTCATAATAAGCAAAATTTGAAAACGCAAATGCCTTTAATGGAGTAAACTGCTGGGTGACTGGGTTCGACGCCCACCACCGTGGAAGACCACTCAGGAATAAAAAGCAGCTGACTGTCGTGTATGAGCAAGATGGGGTGACTCTCAAGAAAATTATGCTGAGTGCAGAAAGCGGGTCTCAAACTGTACACACTTCACAATCCCATTACATAATATTTGTGTAACGACATAATTACAGAGATGGAGAACAGATGAGTGGTTGCTCGGGATTAGTGCTGAGGAGGGAGAGGAAGGGCAGAGCCGGGAGGGTACCATGTGGGAGTCCTGTGGTGGTGGCTCTGTTAGGAATCCTGACTGCGGTGCTGCCGAAACCAAGCTCTGCGCAGTGAGATAACACAGCATTCTGGAAACAATGCAGGCGCTCACAAACCTGGGCTGGTGGTCATCTGAGCAGGAGCCATCGAGTGGCTCTGGGGAGCCTGTGCTTGGCCTAATGGAAAGTTCAGGTGTCCTGGTTGGAGATATCCACCCACTCTCCCCGCCAACTATGTGAACTCCAGCTACAGTATTAGACTACATTTCCCAGCCAACCTTGCAAGGAAGCAGTGGTCCAGTCAACAGTACATAAGTGAACAGCTCCGTCCTCTCCATAAGCCCTTTCCCTTCTCAGGAAATTTGAAGCCATATGGAGAAGTCCCCTTTCCAAGATGCATATCCCTAAGATGCCTAGTGGATGTCTGAAACAAAGCATGATAGATAGATAGATAGATAGATAGATAGATAGATAGATAGATAGATAGATTAGATATGCAGTTCTTTCTATCTATCCAACTTCTGATAAAGTTCAATTTGTAAGTTAAGGCGCAACACAAGATTAACAACACCAACTAACAAAGAGAGGGGAAAACATAACAATATACTATAATAAAAGTCAAATGAATGTAATATACCCCCTCAAGATAGCTTATCTTACATTTACCTTTCTACTTAAAGGAAGCACTTCCTGGCTTCTCCCTGGCATCTGTGAATCATTGGTGTCACTACTTGGGACCACTAATAAATGACATAACAGTGGTTTGAATACAAGCACTGCCTAGCCAACTAAGTGATTAACAGGAAGGTGATATACTCTGAGTAGATATGCTAGAAAATGGTATGATTCAAATCCAGGACCAGACAAAACAGGAGGTATGCATTATTCCAAACGGGACAGATAACTTCACACTTACAAATACTTGCTTCTGCAATTGTCCATCATATATTTGCAGCCTCTGTCAACTGGTATCACCTGAAACTGTGGAAAAGAAAACCATGGCTGAGGAAGGGCTGCTGTGTGGAAGAGGGGGGAAGCCTGAGTCCTCCAGTTTGAGAGGATTTCTTCTGGGACCATGCGTTATAAGCCAGTATTCTTGACAGTGCCCAACAGTTTCTTAGTAGTACCCTCAGATCCACAGCTCCTAGGCAGATCACTAGTATTCCCAGCCTTAATGCCCTCCCTGAGTGGTTGTACTCAGGGAGGGTCTGGATGGTGGGCTGAGATGCCTAGATAACTCCCTAGAGATGACACCAAACCCTCTGAGCATCCAAGGGAGGGAAAGGAACCTGAGTTTTGGGTTTAAATCCTCAAACTCAGATTCTGGAGGGTCCAGAGGGTTCACTGGGCTCACAAGAGTCAAAACCTCCTGAACTATTAGTTACTCTTCCGTTGCTGTAATAAAACACCGTAACCAAGGCAACCTATAGAAGGCAGGGTTTATTTGGGCTTACAGTTTCAGAATTTTAGGGTCCATATTGGTGGAGACAACATAGAAGACATGGATCCTGCTGGAAGCTGAGGGCTGAAGGTTCACACCACAGGCTTCAAACAGGAGGCAGAGAGAGAGAGAGAACAGGGGAATGGTATGTGGCTTTTAAACTCCAGGGCCTGTCCCCAGTGACATGCATCCTCCAACAGGGGCTCACCTCCTAAACCTACACAAACAGCACCACCAGTTGGGGAGCAAGTACTCAAACATCTGAGCCTGTGGGAAGAATTTTCATTCAAACCATCACAAGGTCCCATGAGAAAGCTGGGGGTTGAGGAATGCTCAGTCATTCATTTATACTTGTGTTCATTTTAAAATACTGAATAATCATTTTACGCACCGGGTACATGGAGAATACGCAGGTGATTGCTACCCTATGCAACTCACAAGCAAGCTAGTTGAAGACAAAACCAGGTTGGTGGTACTGGTACTGCAGAGAGCAGAGGAGGAGGAGGCAGAATGAGAGTCCTGTACTTCTGCAGTGATGGGAGAGGTCATTCTGGAGACATGTTCTGAAGGGGCCTGGGGAAGAATTTTCCAGACAAAGACACAGCTAAAAGCCCTGTAAAAGACTATACCTGGGGAGAGAGAACCAAGAGGAGGCATGGGAAGCTGGGGCAGAGGAAGAGGCAGACATGTCTGTACTTTCTAGTGTGTTAATACAGCTATGGTGGGGAATGATGGACGCCCAGAAGAAGTACTGAACCAGGAATCAGGGACAACTTCCTGGAAGGCGTCAAATCACGACTGGGTTCTGAAAGCATCAGTGGGGAAGAGGGGTGGGAGTCGGCTACCACTCCGTGAAGAAGCCAGGGCAAGAAATGCTCAGGATGGAAGGGGATGCTGGATGTGGTATCACATGCCTGTAATGCCAGCAGTTGGGAAGTGGAGGGAAGATGGTCAGGGGTTCAAGGTCATCCTTAACTACACAGTGAGTTCTGGGCTAGCCTGATCTAAGCGTCTCACAAAAACAAACAAACAAAACCAAAACAACAACAACAACAACAAAACAGGTGTGAGAGGCCTGAGAAACTTGCAAAATAGGGTGAGAAGTTGGAGATTTGGGATGAAAGGGAGAAGAGAGAAACCGGAGTCATCAGAACCAGAGGACCCTGCAGGGAACCACAGTGTTTACCAGAGGCAGGCTCGTGCACATGGGCTGGGGGGATGTAGGGGTGTGACAGCCAGCCTTGGAACCTCTTTCTAGCAAGTCACTCGTAGGAAATAGAAAGCCTGACTGTCCTTTGGGCCTCCGAGGCTCTCCCCACCCTCTCTGTGATGAGACTGTGGTCTGGAAAGTGACTGAAAGGCGATTGACAGGCTGTGCAGCTTTGGGCAAATCATTTGGTCTCTGAGCATCCATTCTCCTTTGGTAAGGAGCCGTTAGTTAAAACAGGAGCTGTTTTGAAGCTTTTAGCTCATGGAAAGTGTTTAGCAGAAGGCCATGGGTCTCCGATATCTCTGTGGCAGCTTGGCTCAAAGGGTCACAGGAGGCAAGAGAGTACTGTTTTATTGAAAGAGCAAGTTGGCACTCAAACAGTTAAAACTAACCCAATCCTGGAGATAAGACTTTAAGAAACACTCCTAGGTCCCAGGCCCCTTCGTAAGCAAATTTATGAGATGCTGGACACTGGGTTAAAGAACAGGAGACCCTGACTTCCCTTGGGGACAAAGAGGGAGGAGGAGAGG